AATATTCTTGACATTTCTTTATCCAGCAAGAATATGAGAGCGACGTTCACGTTGGCCACGGCTTGTTGGTCATTTTGCCCGTAATCGTTACTGAAGACAGCTTCCAGTATGTTGTTCTCATTCGTACCTTCATCGACGAGCCTGCTAGCCCTATCATACAGGTATCTACTTTTTTTAAGGATTCCCAAGAAGGAAATACAGACGAAAAATATCTAATTCCTCAGTTCTCAAGAATCATTAACACGACAACAGTCTGATTTGTTTTTCCCGTAGATTTACCAAAGCTATGAAGACCAAAGCTCATGCGGATGTAGCGGGGAGGAACACAACGCCACATATGAACACGGGGTGGATGTGCCAAAACAAGTCATTCAAGACATTAGTCTAAAGTAGGACTTCCATTACGTATTATTCGAGTTCATTACTAATATATATATTTCTACACCTACAATAGCTTCATCTCACATTGCAAAACAAACCCAGATTGTTATATAACACTTATTGCGATATTCTTGATATAGCCCACCAGAATTTCACATTTGGCGTCTTATCCAGTGCGCAATTTCACCCCAGGTCAAACCGAACTGAGGAAGAAATGGACTTATCTACTATGACGGGATATATCGCTATGTTAGCGGCTGTGCCTGAATATCAACGTCATGTCGAAACAATTATCATTATGAATGAGATTGAAGAGGAAGATTGCGTAAGTGGATGGCAAATCTTGTGAAACTGACACCATTTAGAGGAATGCTATATCAGATCACTGTAAGCGACTACCATTTACAAATTTTTTAACATCTGTTCTACCGAAATCTTGACAGGAAACAACTACAGAGCCTACTTCTACAACTGAGATCACTCCCACAACTGATATCACCACGGATACTTCTACAACAGAGACTACTTCTGTAACTACAACTCCACAGATGACTACAACGACTGAAGCCACAACTTCTGAAACGACATCTATAGCTCCTGAAACTACAACTTCATTAACATTTACAACTGAAACCACAACTTCCGAAACTGCTGAGACAGAAACTGAAATAACTACAACTCCGAACATAAGCACAACTCCTGAGATACCTACAACTAAGGTAACCACAACTCCTGAGATAAGCACAGCAAATGAAGTAACTACAACACATGAAATAACAGCTCCTGAGATAACTACAGCTGAAACGCCAATGACAACTGCAACCCCAGATATGATAACACCAGATGAAACCGACGGTGAAATTATCATCCAAATCGACCAAGCAAGTGAAAGGGAAGATTGCGATAACAGTTCATCAACTTATGTTCAGGTGAGATCTGATTTAATCATAATTATCCTCATATCTATGTCAACTACCACAGTCTATATTACTAACAGTCTACTTATCGTTTGTGTTTATTTTTCCACCTGTTTATATGTTGCCTATCAATATCAGTGCGTATGTTCGTGTGTGCCTTTTTTACTTCATATTATGCCAGAATTGTTTCTAACAAGTGCTTTACTTCAGAGCGTCGTTATTAAGAACGAATACGACATGGCCAGTCTCAAGAATGCCCTTCACAGGTAAATGTAAAACTGATTCAATTTCTGTGTTTGTACTTTGTATTTAAAGTTACGTACCAAATCTAAACAATGGTTATAATTCAATATATACACATTCTCTGTCTATATCTCTCGTTCCACCAACCCCGAAAAAAAGATATATACACGCGAACGCGCACCCACATCCGTAAGCTATAAACGGTTAATGTCTGCACGATCCCTAAATCCACCTGACTGGTCAAATTTATTTTCTTCCACACGTCTCTGTCTAACAGATTACAGGAAGGCGAGAAAAGCCATTGTATCATTGAGACGGTTTACTCCCAAAACGCCTCCAGTTCTGACAATTCATCCTGGTACTTCATGGACGAGCATGAGATTGTGTGGATGGAGAAAGAGGTATTGTTCTTCAACATTGTGCCTTGATAATAGAATCTTGATGTATGAGACTCGTCGAGTTGTGTTTAAAAAGAGGAAAATACTATCAGACATTACTAGATAGAAAGACTAAGCAACTTTGTGCATTAGAAGAAGAGATAAGAAAAATATATTCAGTTGTTTATGTATGCTTGAATATATCACTTGTTAGTGACGCATTTTAAGATATAAAAGAGAAACTATGTATAAAAGGCGATGTTTGATATTTATAGCAGGAATACGAAACTGATGTCCACATTGGATACGGGCTTCTGATGGTCCTGCCAGTTCTCGCAGCCGGGGACTCCGTCGTGTACATCGTTCTCTTTAGGACATTTGTTGACGAACCTGCCAGTCCCATCGTACAGGTAGGATAGGAAGGATACATGAATAGATACATATACAGATGTACTATACTTATATGTACACTCTATATGTATGTATGTATATATACATATGCTTATATGTAGATTATATATATAGATTCATATGCTTATATGTACATTTTATATATAGATACATATACTTATATGTACATTATATATATTTGCGCACACATATATAGAGAGAAAGAGAGAGAGAGAAAGAAAAAGAAAGAGAGATTGAGAGACTGAAAGAAAATTTCGGTAGACTGTATACTTTCTTGCAGATCTATCAAACTTTTGAGGACGAGAGTGCATGTGGGTGTGTGGATGGCGAAGGTGAAAATACTACTAACCATAATCACGCAACGGAAGTAATCCAGCATTTCGCATCCAAGTAAGTTTCATATTGTATTATCATATCTCTGTATTAAAAAGAAGATAAACAAATTAATTGCAGGTCAACATTCACCATTATTTCAATGTGGGGGAAATGCGAACATCTATTATCTAGCTAACATTTTCAGTTTGCAGTTGTGACACGTGAATTATACTCGTAAATTTAATAAACGAATTATTCACCTTAACAGGTCATCGATTTTTTTTTTTAGACTATTAATAGTGTCTTAATTGTCCTCGCTTTCCACCAGCTCAAACCATACTGTTAGAGATATGGACCTAACATCAATGACGGACTATATCATAATGCTTGGGGCAGTGCCAGATCACAGTCGCCAATACCTGTCGATGACGATTGATAACGAGATCGAAGGAGAAGACTGTGTACGTTGGACATTAATGTGCCATGGTTTCGTCGCAGTGTTTATTAATTTTTATCTTCTTAATTCTTGAGGGATCAGAGTCTGACCTCATTTGAAAAATGCGTTTTTGACAAAGAAGTGTCTTTTTTGTGATAGCATGTATGGGTTATAAGTGATAAGTATATATGTATATTCTTTCAGGAAACGACAAGAGAAGTATCTACAACTCCTGAAATTACAACTTACGAAACTACAACGATCTTAACAACTGAAATTACTACTACCGAAATACCTTCAACTCCTGAAACAACTTCGGAAACCACATCTAAGGCTCCTGAAACTACAACATTTACAACTGAAGCCACAACTTCAGAAACGATATCTACAACTCCTGAAACGACATCTATACATCCTGAAACTACTTCAAAAACATTTACAACTGAAACCACAACTTCCGAAACTGCTGAGACAGAAACTGAAATAACTACAACTGAGATAATTACAACTCCTGAAATAACTACAACTGAGATAACGGCAGCAACTGAAGCCACAACTTCCGAAACGATATCTACAACTCCTGAAACGACATTTATACATCCTGAAACTACAACTTCAAAAACATTTATAAATGAAACCACAACTTCTGAAACGACATCTATAGCTCCTGAAACTACAACTTCTGAAACGACATCTATAGCTCCTGAAACTTTAACTTCAATAACATTTACAACCGAAACCACAACTTCCGAGACTGCTGAGACAGAAACTGAAATAACTACAACTCCTGGGATAACTACAACTGAGATAACCGCAGCAACTGAAGTAACTACAACACATGAACCTACAGCTGAAACGCCAGCGACAACTGCAACCCCAGATATGATAACTCCACCCGATGAAACCGACGGTGAGATTATCATCCAAATCGACCAGACAAGTGAAAGGGAAGATTGTGATAATAGTTCATCTACTTACGTTCAGGTGAGATCTGATTTAATCATGATTATCCTCATACCTAATTAGTCAACTATCTGTCTATATTTCTAACAGTATTTATCTTTTGCATCTATTTGTGTGTTTGTATATATATTGTCTGTCTATATTTTTATCTATTATCAATGCATATGTTTGTGTTTTTGTACTGAATTTACTTGATAATAAGCCAGAATAATTCCTATCAATTACTTTTCTTCAGAGCGTCGTTATTGAGAACGAATACGACATGGCCAGTCTCAAGAACGCCCTTCACAGGTAAATGTAAAACTGATTCAGTTTCTGTGTCTACTTTTTATTTGAACTTACACGATAAATCTATACAGTGGTTATATTTCAATGTATACACGCTATATAATTGTCTCTGCCTCCCCCCCCCTCTCTATCTCGTCCCATCCACCCCCCAAAAAACCAATACACGCGCACCCTCATTCATGAGCTATGAACAGTTGAAGTTTATTGCATGCGCAATCCCTACACACAACTACATGGACGAATTTATTTTCTTTCACACGTTTTTGTCTAATAGGTTACAGGAAGGCGAGAAAAGCCATTGTATCATTGAGACGGTTTACTCCCAAAACGCCTCAAGTTCTGATAATTCTTCCTGGTACTTCATGGACGAGCATGAGATTGTGTGGATGGAGAAAGAGGTATTGTTCTTTAACGCTGGACCTTGAGAATAGAATCATAATTAACTGTGACTATCAACTGATGTATCAAAGTGATGTCTTGCTGTATGAGACTTACTTGCCGAGTTGTGTTTAAAAAGTGGAAAATATCAGACAGTACTAGTTATTAAGACTAAGCAACCTAGTGCATTAGAAGAAGGGAGTTGTTTATATTTGCTTGTTGTTTATGTATGCTTGAATATCACTTGCCAGTGATGAATTTTAAGATATGAAAGAAAAACTATGTTTAAATGACGATGTTTGATATTTATAGCAGGAATACGAAACTGATGTCCACATTGGACACGGGCTTCTGATGGTCCTGCCAGTTCTCGCAACCGGGGACTCCGTCGTGTATATCGTTCTCTTCAGGACATTTGTTGACGAACCTGCCAGTCCCATCGTACAGGTAGGATATAAAGGATGAATGAATGGATACATACATGTACAGACACATACATATATACTTATATGTACATTATATGTATATATATACATGTACTTATATGTATATGTACATTATATATATATATATATATATATGTATGTATTTATACATGTACTTTTATGTACATTATATATAGAGAGATACATTATATATATTTACACACATATATATAGAGAGAGAAAGAGAGAAAGAAGAGAAAAAGAGATTAAGAGACTAAAAGAAATAAGATTTCGATAGAATATACGCGCTCTTTCTTGCAGATCTATCAAACTTTTGAGGATGAGAGTGCATGTGGGTGTGTGGATGGCGAAGGTGAAAATACTACTACTCATAATCATGCAACGGAAGTAATCCAGCATTTCGCATCCAAGTAAGTTTCATGTTGTAATATCATATCTGCATTAGAAAGAAGAAAAACAAATTAATTGCAGGGCAACATACACCATTATTTCAATGTAGGGGAAATGCTAACATCTGCTATCTAGCTACCATTTCCAGTTTGTACTTATAACACATGAATTACACTCGTAAATTTAATAAACGAATTATTCACCTTAACAGGTCATCGATTTTTTTGACAATTAATACAGTGTCTTAATTGTCCTCGTTTTAATTGTGCTCGCTTTCCACCAGCTCAAACCACAGTGTTGGAGATATGGACCTAACATCAATGACGGACTATATCATAATGCTTGGGGCAGTGCCAGATCACAGTCGCCAATACATGTCGATGACGATTGATAATGAGATCGAAGGAGAAGATTGTGTACGTTGGATATTAATGTACCGTTGTTTCGTCGCAATGTTTACTTATTCATCTTCTTATTTCTTCTTATTTCTTGAATGATCGGAGTATGACTTCATTTGAAAAATGCGTTTTTGACAAAGTGTCTTTATTGTGATAGCATGTATGACTTATTAGTAATAAGTATATATATATTCTTTCAGGAAACGACAACAGAAGTATCTACAACTCCTGAAATTACAACTTACGAAACTACAACGATCTTAACAACTGAAATTACTACTACTGAAATATCTTCAACTCCTGAAACAACTTCGGAAACGACATCTATAGCTCCTGAAACTACAACATTTACAACTGAAGCCACAACTTCCGAAACGATATCTACAACTCCTGAAACGACATCTATACATTCTGAAACTACTTCAAAAACATTTACAACTGAAACCACAACTTCCGAAACTGCTGAGACAGAAACTGAAATAACTACATCTCCTGGGATAACTGCAACTGAGATAATTACAACTCCTGAGATAACTACAACTGATATAACCGCAGCAACTGAAGTAACTACAACACATGAATCTACAGCTCCTGAGATAACTACAGCTGAATCGCCAACGACAACTGCAACCCCAGATATGATAGCTCCACCCGATGAAACCGACGGTGAGATTATCATCCAAATCGACCAAACAAGTGAAAAGGAAGATTGTGATAATAGTTCATCTACTTACGTTCAGGTGAGATCTAATTTAATCATAATGATCCACATACCTAATTAGTCAACTATCAGTCTATATTTCTAACAGTGTTTATCTTTCTTATCTATTTGTCTGTTTATCTATTCCCTGTATATATTTCTATCTGGCAGCGCGTATGTTCTTGTGTGCATTTTGATGCGCTGGTTTTACTTCATATATAGCCAGGATAATTCCTAACAAGAACTTCTCTTCAGAGCGTCGTTATTGAGAACGAGTACGACATGGCCAGTCTCAAGAACGCCCTTCGCAGGTAAATGTATAACTGATTCAGTTTCTGCGTCTACTCTTTATTTGAACTTACACGATAAATCTATACAGCGGTTGTATTTCAATGCATACACGCTATATAACTGTGTCTCCCCCCCCCTCTCTCTCGTCCCACCCACCCCAAAAAAACAAATACACACGCACCCTCATTCATGAGTTATGAACAGTTGAAGTTTATTGTCTGCATAATCCCTAAACAGAACTAAATGGACGAAGTTATTTTCTTTCACACGTTTTTGTCTAACAGATTACAGGAAGGCGAGAAAAGCCATTGTATCATTGAGACGGTTTACTCCCAAAACGTCTCCAGTTCTGATAATTCTTCCTGGTACTTCATGGACGAGCATGAGATTGTGTGGATGGAGAAAGAGGTACTGTTCTTTAACGTTGTGCCTTGAGAATAGAATCATAATTAACTGTGACTATCAACTGATGTATCAAGGTGATGTCTTCCTGTATGAGACTTGCCGAGTTGTATCTAAAAAGTGGAAAATACTATCAAAAAGTACTAGATTTTAAGACTAAGCAAGCTAGTGTATTAGAAGAAGGGATGATAAAAAATATATAATCTGTTGTTTATGTTTGCCTGAATATCAGTTGTCAGTGATGAATTTTATGATATGAAAAAAAATAATGTTTAAATGACGATGTTTGATATAGCAGGAATACGAAACTGATGTCCACATTGGACACGGGCTTCTGATGGTCCTGCCAGTCCTCGCAGCCGGGGACTCCGTCGTGTACATCGTTCTCTTCAGGACATTTGTTGACGAACCTGCCAGTCCCATCGTACAGGTAGGATATGAAGGATGAATGAACAGATACATACATGTACATACATATACATATATACTTGTATGTAAATTATACATATACATGTACTTACATGTACATTATATATATGTATGTATATATATACTTTTATGTAAATTATGTACATAATTTTTTGTTCATTATATATTAGAGAGAAAGAGAGAGAGAGAGAGAAAGAAGAGAAAAAGAGATTAAGAGACTGAAAGAAAGAAAATTTCGATAGAATATATGCCTTCTCTCTTGCAGATCTATCAAACTTTTGAGGATGAGAGTGCATGTGGGTGTATGGATGACGAAGGTAAAAATACTACTACTCATAATCATGCAACGGAAGTAATCCAGCATTTCGCATCCAAGTAAGTTTCATATTGTATGATCATATCTCTGTATTAAAAAGAAGATAAACAAATTAATTGCAGGTTAACATACACCATTATTTCAATGTGGGGGAAATGCGAACATCAGCTATTAAGCTGACATATCCAGTTTGCACTTCAAACACATGAATTATACTCGTAAATTTAATAAGCGAATTATTCACCGTAATAGGTCATCGATTTTTTTTCTTTTCTTTTTTTTAGACAATTAATTCAGTATTTTAATTGTGCTCGCTTTCCACCAGCTCAAACCACAGTGTTGGAGATATGGACCTGACATCAATGACGGACTATATCATAATGCTTGGGGCAGTGCCAGATCACAGGCGCCAATACATGTCGATGACGATTGATAACGAGATCGAAGGAGAAGACTGTGTACGTTGGAGATTAATGTACTGTTGTTTCGTCGCAATGTTTACTGATCCTCTTATTTCTTATTTCTTGAGGGATCGGAGTCTTACTTCATTTGTAAAGTGCGTTTTTGGAAAAGTGTCTTTTTGTGATAGCATGTATGACTTATTAGTAATAAGTATATATGTATATTCTTTCAGGAAACGACAACAGAAGTATCTACAACTCCTGAAATTACAACTTACGAAAGTACAACGATCTTAACAACTGAAATTACTACTACCGAAACAACTTCAGTAACGACATCTATAGCTCCTGAAACTACAACTTCCACATTTACAACTGAAGCCACAACTTCTGAAACGACATCTATAGCTCCTGAAACTACAACTTCATAAACATTTTCAACTGAAACCACAACTTTCGAAACTGCTGAGACAGAAACTGAAATAACTACAACTCCTGAGATAACTACAACTGAGATAACGGCTGCAACTGAAGCCACAACTTCCGAAACGATATCTACAACTCCTGAAACGACATCTATACATCCTGAAACTACTTCAAAAACATTTACAACTGAAACCACAACTTCCGAAACTGCTGTGACAGAAACTGAAATAACTCCTGAGATAACTACAACTGAGATAATTACAACTCCTGAGATAACTACAACTGAGATAACCGCAGCAACTGAAATAACTACAACACATGAACCTACAGCTGAAACGCCAACGACAACTGCAACCCCAGATATATTAGCTCCACCCGATGAAACCGACGGTGAGATTATCATCCAAATCGACCAAACAAGTGAAAAGGAAGATTGTGATAATAGTTCATCTACTTACGTTCAGGTGAGATCTGATTTAGTCATAATTATCCTCATATCTAATTAATCAACTATCACAGTCTATATTTCTAACAGTGTTTATCTTTTGTATCTATTTCTGTTCATATATTGCCTATCTATATTTTTTTATCTATATATCAGTGCGTATGTTTGTGCTTTTGATGTACTGATTTTACTTCATATTAAGCCAGAATAATTCATAACAAGTACTTCTCTGCAGAGCGTCGTTATTGAGAACGAGTACGACATGGCCAGTCTCAAGAACGCCCTTCACAGGTAAATGTAAAAATTATTCAATGTCTGTCTAACTTTTATTTGAAGTTATATACGATTAGATACGATAAATCTATAAAGTGGTTATATTTCAATATATACACGCTATATATATATATATATATATATATATATATATATATATATATATATATATATATATATATATATATATATATATATATATATATATATATATATATATATATATATATATATATATATATATATATATATATATATATATATATATATATATATATATATATATATATATATATATATATATATATATATATATATATATATATATATATATATATATATATATATATATATATATATATATATATATATATATATATATATATATATATATATATATATATATATATATATATATATATATATATATATATATATATATATATATATATATATATATATATATATATATATATATATATATATATATATATATATATATATATATATATATATATATATATATATATATATATATATATATATATATATATATATATATATATATATATATATATATATATATATATATATATATATATATATATATATATATATATATATATATATATATATATATATATATATATATATATATATATATATATATATATATATATATATATATATATATATATATATATATATATATATATATATATATATATATATATATATATATATATATATATATATATATATATATATATATATATATATATATATATATATATATATATATATATATATATATATATATATATATATATATATATATATATATATATATATATATATATATATATATATATATATATATATATATATATATATATATATATATATATATATATATATATATATATATATATATATATATATATATATATATATATATATATATATATATATATATATATATATATATATATATATATATATATATATATATATATATATATATATATATATATATATATATATATATATATATATATATATATATATATATATATATATATATATATATATATATATATATATATATATATATATATATATATATATATATATATATATATATATATATATATATATATATATATATATATATATATATATATATATATATATATATATATATATATATATATAATATATATAATGTTTATACATATGTGTATACATGTATATACACATATATGTATATATACACACAAATATATATATATATATATATATATATATATATATATATATATATGTATGTATATCTTTATGTTCATACATATATGATTGTGTGTATATATATACATGTGTGTGTAAATATGTATATGCATATATATTTACATATACATATTTATATATATATATATACACTATATATATCTATATGTGTATGTATATGTATATATATATTTATGTGTATATCTAATATATATACACGTGTATATTTATGTATAATTACATATATTGAGAGATTGAAAGAAAGATAAAATTTTGATAGAATACATGCCTTCTCTCTTGCAGATTTATCAATCTTTTGAGGATGAGAGTGCATGTGGGTGTGTGGATGGCGAAGGTGAAAATACTACTAACCATAATCACGCAACGGAAGTAATCCAGCATTTCGCATCCAAGTAAGTTTCATATTATATGATCATATATGTGTATTAGAAAGAAGAAAAACAAATTAATTGCAGGTCAACATACACCATTATTTCAATGTGGGGGAAATGCGAACATCTGTTATCTAGCTAACATTTCTAGTATGGAGTTGTAACACGTGAATTATACTCGTAAATTTAATAAACGAATTATTCACCTTAACAGGTTCTTTTTTTATTTTAGACAATTAATAGTATCTTAATTGCCTCGCTTTCCACCAGCTCAAACCACAGTGTTGGAGATATGGACCTAACATCAATGACGGACTATATCATAATGCTTGGGGCAGTGCCAGATCACAGGCGCCAATACATGTCGATGACGATTGATAACGAGATCGAAGGAGAAGACTGTGTATGTTCGATATTAATGTACCGTTGTTTCGTCGCAATGTTTATTTATTAATCTTCTTATTTCTTCTGAATTCTTGAGGGATCGGAGTCTGACTTCATTTGAAAAATGCGTTTCTGACGAAGTATCTTTTTTTGTGATAGCATGTATGGCTTATTAGTGATAATTATATATGTATATTCTTTCAGGAAACGACGACAGAAGTATCTACAACTCCCGAAATTACAACTTACGAGACTACAACGATCTTAACAACTGAAATTACTACTTCCGAAATATCTTCAACTCCTGAAACAACTTCAGTAACATCTACAGCTCCTGAAACTACAACTTCCACAACATTTACAACTGAAGCCACAACTTCCGAAACGATATCTACAGTTCCTGAAACGACATCTATACATCCTGAAACAACAACTTCCGAAACTGCTGAGACAGAAACTGAAATAACTACAACCCCTGATATAACTACAATTCCTGAGATATCTACAATTCCTGAGATATCTACAACTCCTGAGATATCTACAACTCCTGAGATAACTACAATCCCTGAGATAACTACAACTGAGATAACCGCAGCAACTGAAATAACTACAACACATGAACCTACAGCTGAAACGCCAACGACAACTGCAACCCCAGATATATTAGCTCCACCCGATGAAACCGACGATGAGATTATCATCCAAATCGACCAAACAAGTGAAAAGGAAGATTGTGATAATAGTTCATCTACTTACGTTCAGGTGAGATCTGATTTAATCATGATTATCCTTATAGTTGACCAATTAGTGA